TGTGTGTTGAACCATGACGAATTCAGCAGCCCAGAATTGAAAACAAGACAAAAACTTTCACGCGAATTCCGCATTACAAAAGAAAAACTTAAACAATCTCGCTTCCATTGTTCCGCCTCAGCCACCACGCGCCTGAGCCTCGAATCCATTCTCTCTGTCTATACCAAACCACTTAGGCCTTTAATCTATCACCTCCGAGTCACAGGTATCCCTGCCATCCCCCGACTAGCCTCCGCGTATATTCCACTCTCCTGGACGTAGTCCCTGAACAGCTACCATCCCCTTGATCCGATCATTGTATCCAGAGCCGGCGCTGTTAGTATGACAGGGTCAATCTCTGTGATATCACAGGTAATGAGAATGGGGTTTGCTACTGCAAAAGTGGTGACTGACTGAGATGTATATGTATATGGATCTCTGTCTGTTGACGCCCCTGAAGCGTTGATAAAACCTGAGTCCACTTGTGAGCCTAAGGCATAATTCTAAACCTCAGGCCTACCAGAGCAAGCGCTCCAACACTGGCAACTTTTTCTTTAGAGAGCAAATTGCCAACCTTTTTGGTATCAATTACATTGTGATCTTCAAACCCACAACTCCAACCATCCCGTGAAAACTATACCGTAAAATACTCAAATGTAAGAAAATAAGATCGTGTTTCTAACTGCACTCTTCCCGAGATCAATTCACTCCCATAACTCCTAATACGTTGCCTCATCGACCTGTCAATTGGTTTTAGCTTTTTCAACCCAGCCTTGCACACGCAAGGTCATCTTGTTGGTGTTGATGAGCTTTTCAAGAGTTCTGTTGGCTGCTGATTTGGTCATCGCGTCGGCAGGGTTATCCTTACCATTGATCCATCGAACCTCGTGGACTTCACCCCTCTCGTAGCTCTGCTGCAGCGCCATGATATCGATCATGAGGCGTTTCTCCTTTGTGATGCCAAGCTTGACGAGACACTCGTATAGCGACCTGCTATCGGTGCAGACGATTATGGGGATGTGAGGGATATCGAGATTGTGGACGGTGCCAAACTTATTGGCGATATTGTTAATAGTTCCCGCAATCGCTACAGCCATATCAACGCCGTGAGCCATTGCGTAAATTTCTGAGGCCAGAACGCTGCGCGTGACGCGTTTGCACTTTGTGGACGACCAGTGAATGATATTGCCGGTTATCTCAAGGCTATCATCTAGGTCATCCTCGCTGCCGAGCACAATGATGTAGCCGATCTACGAAGTTAGGTCCTTGTTGTTGGCGAATGACGCGTCGACAAACACAAAGAGTTTCATATTTCCCAAATTCAACGGCACATAACGCAATCCCCTGGCAGTATTTTCTTTCTGCCATTTGAGCCGTTTGTTCAGCATTGCTATGTCAGTACTGTTTAGTTCCTTGTGTTGTGCTGCGGCCGATAGGTCAAACGAGGCCTCTGGCTGGCATATCGTGGCGATGTAGGCTCCTCGTGCCCTCTGCTGCATGTATGACTTGCTGTCTATTGCCGGCGCAACTTTGTCGGCTTGGTTCTTTTGTTGCAGCACTAGGTCATCACCCTCGAGTGATAGCTTGCATCCGTTAAAGAGGAGAGGGTGGTCCGCCGTCAGGAACTCTTTCGGTTTCGCCTTGAAGGTCAAATTTCGATCCTCGGTCTCCGCGAAAGCCTCATCACTTAGGCCTAACGTGTAGTCAGTCTGCATTCCAACTATTCCAAACGACGGTGCTTTCTTTGTGGTTACCAGAAGGCAGGGATCGAACGTCGACGTCTCCATAAGCAGTTTCTCACAGTGATGGCGAAAGTACGTAGCCCACCAGTGTAATCCAGATTCCGCCAGTCCGTATAGAGGCTTGATGATCGTCATTATGATGTTTGGGGGGAACATGTGACGTATCTGGACTGGGATTTCCGCGATGACCTGTTGCTGGAGTGGGGTCTCTGACTGCACGTACGCCTGGGTGATGTCTCGGTGCCAGACGAATAATGTGGTCGATCTACATAAGGTTGGCATGAGCGCAAGGATGATACGCTGGCTAGCCCGTTGTATGTTGGGGCTCTGCGTAAGCATTTGCTGTTTCTCCATGTCGTTGTAACCCATTACGACAAGTCGGGACTTTTCGTATGGTTTGTCTGTCCCTTTTCCTTTAATTTCGTGGACCAACCTTGCCTTGAACCTAGTTGATTTACCATACTTGGCTGTATCATATGTCTCGAATCTGAAAACGCCGTTACCAATGAGTGCTTTGATTTCTGCTTGATCAGATAGCTCGAACGGAGCTCCTGGAGTCAGTATCTTCCCTTCCTTGCGTAGCCTCACGGCTAGAGCTGCATCGGCCTTCTCTTTATCACTTAAGAAAATGCTACCATTATATTGTACCTCTAGATTTGGAGCAAAACTTGGCTTACTTTTGGATCCTTTCTGTCGACCTCGTCGGCGTGGCGCTACAGAAACATTTGCTTCCGGGTTGTACTCTTCATCGTCCTCGCGCTGTAATTCCTGGCCTTCTTCTATCGACAACTCGGCTGCTGGGATCTCGGTATTTTTATTCTGATAATAGGGTTTGACTGATGTAATCCGGAAGATAACCGGTCTGTTGTTGATCTCGACGGTACATGCCGTATCATCATCGTTCCGTGTAAGAAGCTTGTGAGGTCCAGTCCAACCAGCACCTTCCCTCCACACGCGAACATCGCTCGTGAGAGGTAGCTGTAATGTATCAAGGATATTAGGCCCATTTCGCATGCCGAGAGCATCTTCCACTTGGCGTTTGGCCTTAAGCTTTCGAATCTCAGCCATTGCTTTCTTCACAGCCTCGGCGTGCTGGATGAGGCCTATAGATGGCGGGGATGTCTGAGTCATTCGTGGGTACGCGCCGAAGACTAACAATGTCGGGACAAGACCGTCTGGGCCCGCGGTATCATTCGCCGCTTTCACAGCCATTTGGAGGACGTTCTCTACTGCCAAGTTGGGCAACTCGATTGCCAAGATTTCGTATGCTCGCTTTACCTGTCCGTGGTATTTCTCGACCTTACCGATCGAGTGATGTGCTTCGATAGGAACTTCCTCCACTTTGATGTTTAATAGCCGTACGTTGTCAACAAACTCGGCGACCTTTAGGTTGGTTCCTGCATCCGTAATTAGAAAGTCTGGAGGTCCAAGGTAAGTGTCAATCCACATAGCTCGCAGTGTCTCCCAGGTCGTCTTGGAAGTCATGTTCGGTAGAAATCGTGCTGCTTGAAACGCTGTTGCTTCGTCGACTGCGTGAAGAACGGGCTTGCCAGTTTTGTACATGACGTCGACAATCAAAAGAAAATTGAAGTCTAGATCTTCTCGCAACGTGAAGCGAAACCGGCCAGGTGCTTTCGAGTGGATCTGACATTGATGACAGAACTTGTTGATATGCTTTAAGGCATCCTTGTTGATGTCCTCGTATCCAGCGCGCGAGAGTAGCTTGCTGAGTCTATCTACTGCCGGGTGAACGAATCATCGATGGAGCTGCCAAAGCTCGGTCTCAGTCAGATGGCATGCTGCTGCTGTGGCCTGTAGGTCAAGGAGAAAGAAAGGGTGCCCCCATTTACGCACAACGGGGTACATCTTCAGCTTACCCTTGTCGTTCGTATGGACGAGTACGTCCCGCATGTTATCCAGGAACACGCGGTGTTTGTCCATGTCAGTTAAGCATAGCAGAAATGGGGTATTTGCTTTAACGACTGTTGACGTTATTGTGCCAAACGGGATCTTCACCTCGACTGTTCCCAGGGTTGCCACGTGGGGGTTGTCACCGAAGGTTATGCGATGGGTGCCTGCTGTCCTAGTGTCCATTTTGAGCTCTGGAATGATCTTTCGGAGAGCCTTAACTTGGCTTTCTCCAGCTATCGATACTCGGGCTACTCCTGTGTCAGGCAAAATCCCCTGGAATAACTCTGAATCGTAACGGCTGCCGAATTGAAACACAGAGCTTGGCTCTGATTGGGCCCGTTTAAATGGGTCATTGTGTTACGGCGTGCTGTAGGGGAGATCGAGATCGCCGTTCGCCGAGGGTATGAAAAGGTCAAGTGGTGAATACTATAGAGGTGGGAAGTCGACGAAGTACTATGGCTAGAAGGAAGCGGGTTTGCGAAAGGAATACTGTAATAATATTATAAGATTGTGAAGCTGGAGAACTACTTTGTTGTAGCTCCAGCTTCCTTAAGTACAAATAACTATCTAACGTAATTCAACTAAGACTGTTGTAATTTCCCATCATGACTCAAACTGTGACCTCAACTATATCAATTCCAGTTGGCGCATTATCTAGTCTCACCATATAAGTGCAAGTGTTGAGGGTGAGTCGAAAAACCTGTTCCGTGAATTTTATCCTCAGGCATTCTGCTTAGACTCTGGTTCCAGAATGTCTCGCCATGACACATTGCCTGTTAGGGCATGTATAGCCGCTTGATTGTTGAGCAGGATATTCGTATTTTGTCCATCAATGGTCCCGTAGCTGGTGTTGAACTGTTCAATCTTGTATTCTGACCACGTGTTGAACATGTCAATAAGGTTACTTTCACTGTCATTTTGGTTCGCCTCGTAACCTTCATAGTCGATGATGAACATACTCAGGTGTCACAGATCAGATATAAAAGCAATGGGCATTTGTATGGAAGATGGTAGTTTATGTTTCGACTAATGGTGAGATATCTAGGAAGTCAGACATGTATTTATACATTCCTTTTCATACTATCCTCGGCCTTCATTCCAGGAATAATCACGGCTTACTGACTTAGATCCTTTTAGTAACTTCTCGTCTCGTCCCTGGAAGGATCTTTCTTCATTGCTAGAAGATTCCCACTCTTTCTAGGTGAAGCTTGATCAACTCTACTCTAGTCTCGAATGTTCCACCAGAAAAATATGCCAGGTAAGCATATCTGAGAGTCTACAAGAATATTCCTGATCATACCTCACAGGAGCCAAGAACTGTCTGCGCTAGCCAGCGTAGACTATAGGCATTACCCGGTTTACTAACCGTCACACCAGGGTATTGTTGTCGTTCGGGAGTTCGTTCTCCGCCATATACGCCCGCCAGCTCTTGATCCGTCCCTGACGTTCGCTTGGTGTGTGCCGAGTGGACCAGCATTCAGCCTTTTTACACACGAAGCAGATCTTTTGGCGCTCGTTATTGCTGCCGAATCCACCATGAAATCCACCTCCCCTAAAACTTCCTCGGCCACCTCTTCCTTGAAATCTCCCTCTTTTGTGGCCTCCTCTTTCTCTGTACCTGCGGTCGACAAAGTACTGTCCATTGTTATCTTCGTCATTGTCGTATTCTGCTTCCTGATGAAATTGCTCTGGATTCCGTGGTGCACAGTCCATATGGATCTTGACAGTAGACCGTAGCTCAGCGCAGGCATTCTCGAATCCTTCGTGGGGGTGGATGAGTGTTTGTGCGCAGGCTGATACGCCTTGACATGCAGCGTACAGCTGTCCAGCGAGGCTGTGGCTTTTGTGACCATAGTTACATCCGAGAGCTTCGTAGATCTTTTGGAGTTTTTCAATAACCAGGTCAAGACATTGGAGGGTGTTCTTTTCGGGATTGTCCCTAATAACCTTGAGAAGGGTGAGAGCTCGCCATTCAGTCAGGTAATTCTGCTCTTCTGTCTTCGTGTGAAACCTTTCCTTCGTTTTGTGGACCATCTCATCGAAAGTCAGGTCGTTAAGGTGCTCAGTAAGGTGCCTGAAGTAGTAGTCGTGGGCGGCGTCTCGCAGCATCGTCGAGAACGCATTCTTAAACTGATTTTTGCCAACCCCGGCGATTCGGTACTTTTCGAAGAAAATTCTCAGCTTGTTTTCGAGCACCTCATAATGCTTGGCTCCAAACTTGTCCTGAGGGTTGACATACAACTTGCCGAGATCCATCAGCGCTCTCGAAATACTGGTACCTTCAGTAATTGTTCCTTTTTCCCAGTCCGGGATGTATGTCTTCCCAGAGTCACTGTCCGAATCGGCCCTCTTGCTGCCTCTTTTCTTTTTCTCTCCCTTAGGTTCCTTCCTGATGCTGTCGCTCTCGTTATCAGAATCGTCGCTGCTATTGCCTTGATCCGCAATATAATTGATATTTTTATCTCTTTTAACTTTATGCGGGATATTTTTGCCCTTGTCAGCCTTCTTGCATTTCAGGTTCGTAAATCCACTCTCATCGTGGTCGCCGTTGTCTGTCGCGCTAGCTGCACTCCGTTTGCCTCTGTTGAAGACGAGTGACTGGGATTCCACGCCGTATCCAATTATCTGGTCGAGTTCGCGCTTTGGCCACTTAGGCAAGTCATCGACATCATCATCGAGCAATGCTGCCAGCTGCTGCGCGATGGTCGCCCGTTTGTCGTTCTCGCATCCTACGTATATCCCTCTGAAAATGAGGAACATCTTAAGCCTTCTGAGGATGGGTTGATAGACCATGGCGAATGTGTCAGGAACCCATTCGTTAAAGTCCTCTCGGAACATCTCAAGGAGTATGTAATCAATGTAGCCTTGATTGTAATTGTAGATCCATGAGATTATGGTCAAGTTCAGTTCCGTAATATTGTCTCTCTTAATATCCTTTCCTCCTGTATCCTTTTTCGTAATGTGCGGCTTTACCCAGTCGGCCTGAGGAAGTCCTACAAACTCTGGTACCTTAGTATGGCTCATCTTGTCGATTCTGGCGGGGTCTTGGACGCCGGGAAGGCAGTGATATCAACTTGTGATACGGTGCCTCGATCTTCGCACTACCGGAACCCAACTTGTGGGACGGGCAGTTGCTTCCTATCACGACCTGGTCGAACTTGCCCATGGGATCGTCTTCCTATGAAGTACCTAGCTGTCTGTGCTTGCTGTCAAGTCAAGCATTGATCAGTGTTGGTATGACAGGGTCAATCTCTGTCATATCACAGGTAATGAGAATGGGGTTTGCTATTGCAAAAGTGGTGACTGACTGAGATGTATTTGTATATGGATCTCTGTCTGTTGACGCCCCTGAAGCGTTAATAAAACCTGAGTCCACTTATGAGCCTAAGGCATGAATCTAAACCTCAGGCCTAACAGAGCAAGTGCTCCAACAGGCGCCCTACGCTTTCCGCTTTTCAGCCGCCATGTTGCCATTTTGCCATTTTGCCAGTGCTTTTCGACACTGGACAAGGTAACTAATTGATTTTTCCCTCCCGCACTCACAGTAGAGTTTGGCGTCAGTATGGTTGAAGCGGCGATGATATGCCGCAAAGTCCCCATGTCCAGTTCGAGCAGCAATTAAGCGGGCGTAGACTGCTCTAGGTAGCGCTAGTTCTGGCGGTTTCTTGCGCCGCATCTCGAGTTCAAAGTCGGCGTAGAGTTTGGGGCAATTCGAGCGCCACCAGTCTGTCAACATCTGCCTGGCCAGTTCACGGGCTTTCCATCCAGATGAGACGAGGGTCATCACATCATGTATCGTCCTAGAGTTGTCCGGCGAGTTAAGCTCTCTTCGAGCGAGTTCATCGGCGATTTCATTTCCTGCTAGCTCTTCGTGGCCTGGGATCTATCCTATTTTTACAGATGCGGCAGATCCCGCGGCCAGTTTCACAAACTTTTGGATACGCCAGGATGATGAGCCCGTTGTTCCCGTCAGTAAAGCCTTTACAGCCGCAGAATTGTCGAGCAGGATGTAGATGGCGCTGCGTCCTCGATCTCGATTGCTGGCAGTGATTGCTACTAGGGCAACCAAAGCTCCATGAACCTCCGCGTTGGTAATTTTACCTGAGCCGCTTTGGTCGATTGCCGTGCCTATGCCACTGATAAAAGTCACAAAGGTCCATGACACTCTGTCGGTTGAAGCCCCAGAACCATCACTGTAAACGCAGAGACAGTCGGGTGGGAGTGTAGGCAGCCACTCTCTTGCTTGTCCAACGAGGTATTGGCTGGGGGGTACCAGAGTTCTGAGCGGTGGCGTAAGTTCAGCCTCTGGCAGAAGTCGATACATCCTCTGGGCCCTTGAATCAAGAACTCTGTCCAAACCAAGTCTGGTTTTGTTGCATGTCTTTAGTCCTAGTCTGTGACGAGCGCTGTCAGTGCTTTCCGCGGCCCGAAGTCGAAGCGGATGATAATCATCCAGTCTTCGGATTCTCGCGGCAGTCTTGAGCCTGCGTTCTTCGAGCAGAATGTGTGCAGGTGGAATGCCAGTCTCCCTTCTCAGGGCTACGATGGGCATGGTGCGCCAGGTTGGTAGAACCACGCGAATTCTTAAGGCAGAAGTTTGATCAATAACTTTACACTGTCTTTTGCATGAATTTCGCGCCACACCCCGATATGTTTCCCTGGTTGGCCCAGAGTACCAGGATTCCGCTGCGTGCATCGCAATTGGCAGGACTACCGTACGGATCACTGTGGTTAGTAAGTCAGGTCTTGGTCCCTGAATACATTGAGTGAGTAGCCGGAAGTGTTGCGCTAGCCGCATTGCTTTACTGGTCCACTCTACGACGTGGCTTTCGAAGGTCAGACCGCGATCAAGGTGTACTCCGAGCCATTGGACATCGTCGGATGCTTGTACATCGCGAGTGCCTACCCTTATAGCCGGAAGATCGTGTCCCCTGGATCTGGGGCCAACGAAGTAGACTACTTCGGCCTTATCTGTTTCACGGATCCGTAATTAGAATTTTAATACTAATTTTAATTCGTGATAAGATGAAGGGGTAGTTAATTAAAGACATCAATTTAATAATAGCTTCCCCTAAACAATTAGTCGTGTAAAAAGTCATGTAAGGATATACAAGGGAGTCATGAAGAGAAGGACAAGAACACAGCCATTAATGCGAAGATATTGGCAAGAATTGATTACGATTAATTCCGGTTGGCAAAGGCTTCTACTTTTGTATATAATAGTTCGGCGTGAGAGAGATTTACTCCTCACGCAACGTCTTCTTTACTTACCCTTTACAATACATTTGTTTACCCATCTCTTCTTCGGGAAGACCATATATCCATTGCCCAGTTCTTCATCAGCAAGACCCACGTGTAACACCTACTGCAACTAGTTGCCCATTCATCTCTTCCTAGAGAAGACCTGTCATCCCTTTGACCCATTTATAATCTTCACTTACCACCTAGATCTTCACTAGGCTATACAACGCACCCCGTGGAACACTGTCAAACCTTCATCTTTGAGAATCTGGGTCAAAGGAGACGGTATTTTTAGCAGCCCACCCTAGGACTGCATCGACTTTTCGCTGGACAGCCACTGCGGCTTCGGTTGGCGTCGAACCTATGCCGAGGATAGCAACATCATCTGCATAGCCGAATCTCCAACTAATGCCCCCCATGACTTCGGCCATGTAAAGGAGGAAGAGAATTGGGGATAAAGGCGATCCTTGTGACAGCCCGCATCCTAGGCGAATTGAGTCTGTTACTCCATCCTCGTGTCTGAAGCGGGCGGATCGTTTGTCCAGGAAAGACGTTATCCAAGTGGTGGCTAGTTTCGGCCACCCAGCTTTGTTTATACCTTGTAGCAGCCTTCCGTGGAGTACAGCGTCGAATGCACCCTGTACGTCCAGAGTGACAAGGACTGCTTTCTTCTACTTCTTCATTGCATGCTCCACATCATGGATGACGCATGAGACGAGGTCATTAGCGGATCTGCCGGAGAGTGCTCCAAAGAGTTGCTGCGGGACTGCCTTGTAGGTGAGGGCGGTGTAAGCCATTCGCCTTGCAATCAGTCTCTCAAGACTTTTGCCGAGAGAGGATAGTAGTGCGATAGGTCTCTATCCTTTAGCTGTACTGAGATTACGGCCAGGTTTGGGGAGAAGAATTACTTCCGCTAGCTTGAATGCCTTCGGAAAGTGGTTCAGTCGAATTGAGCCCTCAAAGAGTACTCTCACTGCGTGACCAATTGACTGCCAGGCTATCCTAAGAAGCCGCACAGAAATCATGTCTGCTCCGGGAGCTTTATTCTGGCAGGCCGTTGTGACCCACTTGGCTTCTTCATCAGTGACGCTAGAGACCCATGGAAGGTTTCCGCGTCCTGGCTCGAGTTGTTCGGTGTCCACGTCGTTTTGGCTGGTGAACCGGCCGAGAAGGAGATCGCGCAATAGAAGTGCACGCTTTCCTGGATCCGAGACAAAACCATCCGGAGTTTGGAGTGGCGGAGTAGCAGATGTAGGTTCCGGTTTAGCCCAGCGTGCCATCCGATACATGTCGATGTCAGTTGTAGCTTCCGAAAACTTTCGCCGCCAGTATTGGCGTTTCGCACTTCTGACTATGCGACGGAAATCCTTTCTGCTCTCCTCGTCCCTGAATATCCTGTATTCGCGGTTGGCCTGTGAGCACTCCAACTTCCACCAAGGTGCCGTCGTACCCTTCTTCGCACTCCCGCGTCTTCCGGTAGCCCTGATAGCATCGCTGATGGTTTGAGCCAGTTTATCCGCAAGGTTGTCCACCGAACTTGTTGAGACCATAGGCTACATCCCTATTCCATGGGCCCACCTACCTAGTATCTTGGCGAAGTCTTCGAGGGCATCGTCTATCACTCGTACCGGTTGACCAGTTTTGATAACTGCTCTGGCTTTCGAGTTCGGGCGGGGAACGTCTCCTGCAAGCGTTCTATGGTCCGATGTTGAGCCAAGCTCTGTCAAGACATCTGCAATGGCACCAGCATTATACCAGACCAGGTCGAGTGTGTTTCCAAAGTCGTGTGTCGGGACGCCCGGTGTGGAAGATAGGTCCATACCGTGCTCGAACATCCACTCGGTGAGCACCTGGCCGTCGCCGTGTAGCCTAGTAGCCATTGGGTGCCAGTCGGTGTGAACGGCGTTGAAGTTTCCGCCAATAACTGTGGGCCCAGATGGAGCCTATGATAGTAGCGGCATAAGGTCTGCTCCAGAAGCGCGGTATACGGAGACAAATGTGACTCCTTCTACCTTTACTGCAGTGAGATCTGGTGATGTCTCGCAGATTGCTTGCTGTTGGCACTTGATCCCTTTTCGCGTGTAGATGAGGGAGCGTGGCCTTGAAGAGTTAGCAGCGACACGGGGAGACAAATGCCTATCGAATCCTGGATGCAACTTGGTGAGCCAGAGGCCGTCCTTGTGTTGAGTCCAGGGTTCCTGGATAAGTAGGACATCGGTTCCTGAATCCAAAGCGGATTGCAGGATGATGTCCGTAGCGGGGTCTCCTCTGCCCAAATTAGCACAGAGGAACGAGATCGATATTGCCGTTTTTTGAAGCTCGGTTGGGTTGTGGTCCCTTACGGGCATTGAGTAACGTTTATATTTTCGTTTTCAGCAGTAGCCTCGGTGGCTTTCTGCTTTGCTTCCATCTCTCTGATCGAAGCATTCCTTTCTTTTTGACCCTGCTCGCGGATCACCGACAGCTGGTCCCTTGTGCGTTGCACTGTCTTCCCATCAGCCCGTATCGGCCTAGCCATACAGTTAGGCTCAGTTGCAGCATGTGGCCCGTGGCAATTGATGCACTTTGTAACGGCCTGTTTGCACTCAGTAGCTTTGTGCTCAATTGAGCCACACCGGGGGCAGCGCTCTGCTCGTGAACAAATTTTAGTTGGGTGGTGTCCCCAGCATCGGTTGCACTGCGCAATTTTGAGCTTGCACTGGAGTTCGTGAAGGCGCCCGCTTTCTTCAAACAGTCTTTCTCCAAGTTTCGGTTTTCCTGTTGCGAAGTGCAACAACCAGTTTATTGACGGCCTGATCATGCTAGTTGCGAAAGCACGAGCCGAGGCTGGTCTAACTCCTGTTTTGAGAGCTGCTTCTTCTATTACCATCTCTTGTGTCACTATAGTGGGCCCTTCCAGAGTGTAGAGCTTGTCTGGGATATTCGGTGCCAGAACTGAGATCCAGTTGGAGGCGGCTTCCAATTTCATTTCTGAGCTATCTAATATGGCTCTTCCTGAGAGAAGTGCACCTCTTGCACCTTCACCTTCGGCTTGTATTGCGAACCCTGAGTTCACGACAGTGACCTGTTTGATTGCCGAGTTGGCCAGACGCAGCTTGCTAGCTAGGCTAATTTTTACGAAGTGGGGTGACATGCGTCTCCACGGGTGGTCAGGTCGGAGGCGCAAGAATACGCGCTCGTCCGTGACCGTTGGGTTTAATCATGACAACTGAGGTTTCTTGCGTGCACTCGGTTTTTATCGGAAACAGGGTGTGTGGTTATCACACAAAGTTGGGTGGTACAATGGTTACGCGGTGTCTCATGGCTCCTGACTACAACTTGATTTGGTATAGAGATGTAGCGGGTTACGTAATGTGGCTATGTAATTAGAACTAGTTGCGCGGTCGTCGTGTATTTACGCGTCGTAGATAGAGAACAATGTAGTGCTTGCGACATCCCACAGCTCCGAACCCTAACGTATTCCTAGTGACATACGCAGGGAACTCTGGAATGGTAGTGTACATAGGCCATAAGCAACGAAGTTAGATAACGCCCAATTTACCACACGCTGTAGAACGAATTTTCGTGAGAAACATCTTAAGGACTTGAGGCGAGATTAAAGGAGCAACCTACAACGTACCATCGAATTGTCAATTGAATCACTTGACTTACGGAAACACAGTTACTCTTCTTCTAGAGAATTAGCGATCAGAACTTTTCTCTTTGGTGCAGAATATTTACTCTTGCAAAAACTCTTCATCAGCATAGTACGGTTTACGAAATTAGGAACACATCTTAGATCAATCCTTGGACTGTCATTTCAAACAACTATTTAACAATATATAGGACTCCTGTTTGAGATAAACCACACGAAATCTTAGAGTCGACAGTTTTTATTTTTATTTTATTTTTAAAATATTCTCTCTCATTTTTGGTCCTTTCTATTCCTCCTGGCCAACTTTCGAGGGACACGCTCATTGAAGATTGCTAGCTTTGATAGCTCGTCGGAATCATCTGAGGATTTTTTTGATTCTGTAGAAGCTACTGAATTTAATTTAAGGATCTGGGAACTGTCCATCCAACATATCAAGCCACACCATCTTTGTCCTCAATCTCTTGAGTATATTCTTGTTCGAATTAGGTCCTGGTCAACCATGTCTAGCCTAATTGTGATATATTACAGGCTACTGTTCCAATTATTAATGGGGTCATAATCAGGGTTGTGAATAGTTTCGGTTTGGTGTGGGTTATTAGATTGATATCTGAGCGTGTCCCATAGTAGTCAGACATGCGACTCAAGTAGCATATACACGGTAAACCTCAACCCCAAAATGATGACACGAATCAAGTTCTATATGCTACGTCCTGTATGGCTAGCGTGGTTGGAATATGGGGAATTTAGCTGTAGATAGATAAAGACGTTGTAGTCCTCTGATAGTTGGGACAAGTCTTCTACCAAATTATATCGGTATCAATACTAGCCTCTCATTAAGTAATCTCATGAATTATTTCCAATGTCTATGATAACAGACGTACATATATGAAGTCGACAATCAAGTTCAAAGTCGATATATTCTCCATAGAATTCAAAATATGACCACTAAAATGGCCACAGTTAAAATTGATTTTGTCGAGTTGTTGTTATGATCTAGGAGTAGCTTAACCCCGATTGGTGGATAAGAGTGTGCTAAGGATTGGCAAGGGTCATGGGCTCTAATTTGGTGTCGTCTATCGCACATGTAGTAAAAGTACATAGATCCTTTTCACACACATTATTCTTCCATATCCATATTGTAGAGAGTAGTTTTATTTCAAGTATTTTACTATCTGTTAGAATTACTACGGGGTGGTTTCACGATCGATCGTAATGATTCAGTAAAGAGTTGTACAATTCTGTGTTGGTCTAAAATGTTCATGATGTCTTGTCTTCTGCGGTATACGGGATTCACAGCTATATTGTGTTTCTGGGTTGGATGGTGCAGTGGTACACCATCTGGGCCCATCTCCCAAGTAGATACTGGGTAACTTGAACATCTACCCCATTCGAGACAGGAGAAAGCTGGTTCGAATCCAGTGAAACCACTACACCACTCTCTCTCGCGGTAAAATTGTACTTGTGGGATGATGAAAGCACACTCAGATACCCACAGGTTTCTCACGCTTTTTCCTGTGGTGGGTATGCACGGAAGAGGTTATACGCCGTAAGGGTCAACCTCCAGTGGTATCTGCAAATGAAATCTGATTGTGAGTGTTCTAAATGTCAAATTGAGTCATCCTACTTAAAGTACATATCTTCCGATAAAACCTGCATGGGCCTCAAGGCGCCAAATTAGGAAAAATAAATAATATATATATATATATATATATATATGTATATTGTAAAAGTGCAAGGGAAATAATAATTGTGTAAACCTTAATCCTTGCATGTCCTATGTTAGCCCTAATAAGCGAGCGACGCTAAATGGGTTGATTTATGGGGGAACACTCTACACTTGGAACATGAGCAACTTTTGCATTTAGATTTATATATACCGAGTTAGGGTAATATAACTTCACCTTTTGAGAAAGGATTTTATATGGTAGCATTATCTTTTTACGATCAAAAGAACTCCCTTACTTTCTTCACACAACGAAAATGTCAGGAAAACTGTCTAAAGCTGATCGCGACATTATTGCACAACAGAAAGACAACAATCTTGAGTCCGATCAATCGGTCGCAAGTATTTCGGGCAAGACAAGGCCCAGCAATTACAAGATGGACGAGTCAAGGTCCAATAGGAAATCCAATGTGAGAAGGAAGAATGTCGATAACGAGTCTAGTTCTTCGGCGAAAAGGAGCGAACAGTCCGACAGCGACGACGATTGGTGGAGTCCTCCTCAAAGGACGTTACGAGTAACCACAGCAGAAATGAATCTCAGGTGGGATCAATTACAGTGGAAACCACACAAGGACCACTTCTTACGCGGCTCCCAGGATTGGGGAGTTTATAAAAATGACGTGATGTTCGCTTTGCAGTCGATAGGGTATGTTAAAGGGATCAAATTAACAAACCTAGATAAAGCAAATTTCGGATCAATGATCAGGAGATCAGTGACCGATAACCCAAGAAGAATCATTGAAGATTTAAGCAGCGGATCGGATATGATGAAATTACTCAACAAGACATATCAACAGTCTGGCACAATACAGGCTGAAAACTTTTTCAATGACCTAATAGAGCTGGCTTTCGACGGAGGTAACGCCATCGATTTCGTGACAAAATTTAGAGTCTGCGTTAGAGACTTTAAATCAACTGGTCAGGAGTTAGCTGACAATATCACAATACTTATATTCAAACGTGCGGTCGAGAAAAGGGCCCACAGATGGCATTGTGAGGCCTCACATACCTCAAAAACCAAACAATGGTCGTTGGAAGAACTGATCAACGATTTCATCTCCAACCACAGTCTCAAGGCTTTTCATAACACAAACAAATACCATCCCAACAGAGACTTTCGGGTAAACAACAACTTTGACAACAAAAGGGGAGATAAAGCCGATATTTGGCTAGGTCAAATTGAAAATAGAGGCAAGCTGGCCTTTAAACCTAAAATAAATCAGGGTGACAAGAACCCTGAGAGTAAGAACCAAGTTGTATGTTACATTTGTGGAAAAACTGGTCATTATGCAAATAATTGCCATAGCAAGAGGGGAACAACTCAAGGTCCTCATCGATGTCACATCTGTAGGGGCAATCACTATGCAAGAGAGTGCCCGGCTCGAAAGTCAGATCATGATCGTCCTTTAAATCAAATTTCAACGAAGGGTAAAGAAAAGATGATCGAGTATAATGTTGGTAATGATTGGTACGATGAGTGGATGGAAGAAAATGGGATAGTAAACAACCCAGAGATTGAAGAGACGCCACACTCAAGTAATGATGATAGCTCATGCTATGGAGTGAGTTTAAACTTTGCCCATCAACTGAATAACGCATCAATTAACTCTTTAATTAGAAAGAGGTGGCTGTTTGATACAGGGGCTGATATTAATGCCACTAACAACCTAAAGAATTTTGTCAAGGAGTCTGTAAGGAACTTAAGACCACGGGAGGTGGCAATAAGGACAGGCAGTGGAGTTATTTATCCAGAGAAAATAGGCGAAGTATGCCTCAAGGTCAGAAATTCAAAAAATAAAGCGAGAAGGCTCAGATTAAAGAATGTCTTTTATGTTAAGAATCTTCCCGTAAACATTATAAGCGGCGAATTGTTTTACAGAGGTGGATGCTCATTACAAGGTGAAAAGCTTGTTGACAGTAATGGAAGTATTATATCTTTAATAAACGTCAATAAACGAGGATTTTTTCTCTGGCTTTCTGGAGAAGATGAACCAATGAAACATATCAAATCAGGATTCCCGTGCCAATTAGACAAAGAACACAACAGTAAAAATTCAAAAATTCCCTCTGATGAAACCATTAGAAACCTAACCTTGTGGCATCGAAGATTATGCCACCCAAGCGCAGATAGGTTGCGGTGGACAATTAAAAATACTACTGGCATAAACCTGACCCCGAGTGATGTTATCAATATACCATGTGAGGCTTGTGATCTAGGTAAATTTGTAAAATACACTACCAATGAGAGACGACGACGAGCTGAATACGTCGGAGAAGGATGGCACTGTGACTTGGGATCGAGCAACCCTAAAACCATGGATGGCAATAGTTACTACTGTTTAACGACGGATGATCTATCTAGATACCGTTTCCTCAAGCCACTGAAGACCAAAAAGGATGCGTCAGTTGAGTTGATGAACATCCTGAGAAATATTAACGCTGAACTGCAGCTTGAAGGGAGAAGAGTCAGGTGGATTACAATTGACGGAGGCAGAGATTGGGGCATGTCGAGATTTGAGGAATTCGCTGCAGACCAAGGTATAGATATCATTGTGTCCGCCCCAGACAATCAGCATCAGAACGGAGTGTCAGAGAGAGGAATTAGGTTCATACAGGACGCTGCCCGATGCTGCACAATTCAAACAAAAATACCATCGGTATTTTGGGACAAAATAATGGAGACAACATGCTATATACTCAATATGACATCTCAATCTCCAGTCGATCAGCACAAGACCCCATATGAAGTATTCTGGTCAGCTATGAAAGGCAGGCCGATTAAGCCAGACGTCAGTCACCTCTTAATTCCCGGATCAAGATGCATAACACATGTAGAGAAGTCGCGCAGAATTGCAGGAGAAAAGCTAGACCCCAGGGGTGCAAGGAGTGTGTTTCTCGGATACAAGGGACGTACAAACAAACTTGTATGGATATTGGGCGGTGGGAGATTCTTAGTCTCACCAAATGTTTTAGCATACAAGAACGTTGGTAAAAATTTGGGTTGGCCAACAGAAATCCAAGAAGTAGTGAGGTCATTGCCAACCAGCGTCCAACATTGTTTGAGAGCTAGGAAAACCAACTATGCCAGAGAAGAGGACTGCAATAGGACACGAAGTGTATCACTGCCACATGAACCTAAAGGACATGGTCGGCCAAAGAAGACAATTAGAAGACCTTTTGACGAAGCACAATTGTTCGAAAGTCAAACAAGGAACAAGAACATGAGCCCAAGCATAAACAACGAAGATGAACGCCCAACAGAGGAGGACTCAGATCACGAGGAAGAAATTGGACAAAGTGCCCATTGCCTCATAGAAAAATCAATCAAGAGGCAACTCCATAACCTACATGGAGATGGAGACGACATGTTTAGGCTATTAGCTAACTCTTCATCTGTCGCTAAACAAATCGTATCACCAGATGAACCTAACCTGCAGGAAGCAATGAGTAGCTCCGAGAAAAACGAGTGGCTAAAGGCTATCTTTACTGAAATAAAGGGGTGTGTGGATAGGAAAACATTTCAGTTTGTTCCAAAAAATCAGCCAAACAGAATGGCCAAATTATCTCAGCGAAATGGGTGCTTAAGAAAAAGTACAAATCAAATATGGAACTGGAAAAATTTAAGGCTAGAGTTGTAGCAAGAGGATTTTTACAAAAGAAGGGTATTGATTTCAATGAAAAAACAGCTTCTACGGCTAGATCAGCTAGTTGGAGAGTATTGATGGCATTGGCAGCCATAAATGAATGGCACATTCTGCAAGCTGACTTTATATCAGCTTACTTAGCAGGAGACTTAAAGGAAGTCATTTATATGCGACAGTTTCCTTACCTCAAAGAATTTTTTAATTCAAACCCAGATCTAAGTAAGGCATCAGGATATACAGAGGAAAGTATAATCCAACTACAAAGGCCACTGTACGGATTAAAACAATCCGGAGCGTGTTGGCAAGATAAAGTTAAATCTTTTTTTTTTTTTTAAATCATTTTGTATTCAGCTATTTAGCTATGACAATTTATTTAACATTAACACTAAGTAATCAAACTCCCCTAAATAATTTTTCCCATCTTTGTTGTTCCATGTATCTGCCCAATATTTTAAAGTTAAATCATTAATGCATACTCGAGGGTTTAAAGCGTTGGCAGCCGACGACGCAATTTACTTAAATAAAGATTGTGGAGTAATAGTAGCGTCGTACGTTGACGACTTTCTATTAATAGGGCCTGATAAAAGTAAAATCAGTGCATTAACAAAATCCTTGAATAAATCAGTGCCACTGAATGACTTGGGAGAAGCTTCATGGTTTTTAGGAGTCAGAGTCCAAAGATCATCACCCACAGGGAGTGTGATGTTAGACCAAAAACAATACATCGACAGGTCAATGATAGAACTGGAATTACAGAGTCAACGGCCCGCACCAACACCTATGTCAGTTGCTAGTAGGCTAGACATGAAGAAATATAACGGAAAAGCCTCGAGCACAGAGCTTTATAATTACCAGAGGTTAATAGGAAAATACAACTTTTCGGCATGCATGACCCGATGTGACACTTCACAAGCTATGTCTCAATTAGCGAGATACATGTGTAATCCTTCTCCCCATCACCACAAGCATGCGTTGAGAGTAGCCCAATATTTGTCTGGTAGTGCAAACAAGGGCTTGGAGTATACCAAAGATCACAGACACGTGAATGAATTCGGGAAATATGGATTGCATTCTGCTGTGGACGCTAGCTTTGCAGATGACTTTGAATCATCTAAATCAACAACAGGCTATGTTATATTTATGGGAGGAAGCCCAGTCATTTGTAGGTCAAAACTACAGACAACAGTATCTACACTGACTTGTGAAGCCGAGTATGCAGCCATCTTCGAAGCAACAAAAGATTGCGCTTGGATAAGGACATTCCTGGAAGAACTGGGGCAAATGCCATCCGGACCCATCCCTGTCATTGAAGACAACAACAGAGCAATCAAATGGGCTAACAGTACAGGAATCAGCTCTGGCTGAAGACATGTTCGTGTAGAGTACAACTACGCCACACAGGAAGTTCGCGACAAGAACATTACCATAAGGAAATTGGAGTCAAAATTGAACCCAGCAGATGGCTTGACTAAACCGCTTAACAATGCGGCGTTTAACGAGTTTGTTGAAAGACTTGGAATGGTAGATTGATTAATTAGCGGATTAAGGTTTAGGGGGCGTGTAAAAGTGCAAGGGAAATAATAAGTGTGTAAACCTTAATCCTTGCATGTCCTATGTTAGCCCTAATAAGCGAGCGACGCTAAATGGGTTGATTTATGGGGAAATACTCTATACTTGGAATGAGTGTGCAATTTTTGTATTAGATTTCCATATACCAAGTTAGGGTAATATAACTTCACCTTTTGAGAAAGGATTTTTATAATTTAAGTGTATTCAGCTATGGAGCTATGACTCATGACCGGTGCTATGTATACATGTGGGATGACTCTTTTGACGTTAGAGACACTCATACTCTGGATTTCATTCGCAAATACCACTATGAGGTATGCTTGCTTACACAAACAGTCGACCCTCCTCTGCAAGTACCCACCAAAGGGACGTTTCGAAACCTTTGGTTATCCAAGCATGCCTTCGTCATCCATGTATACCAGCACCGCGAGAAATGTGGTTGTGTTTTGCCGGATTTGAACCAGCAATCTACTGTCTCAAGTGGAATATGTGTCTGTGACGGCTGTCAAGCCTAAGGGTTCCTGTAGCCTACGCTGTCTAGCGCAGGCAATTATACGAAGGGAGGTTCCTGGGAAGATCTTGGATGACAGGGAACCTAGATGATTCACATTGAGCCTTGTTGAAACCTACTGAGAGTTCATGAGGGTTACAGAAGTATCAAGGATCTACAGGCGATTGTCGGAGAGTCTGAGTTGACAGGTCATAGAGAGAACCTTATCGAGGAGGGGTATTTCAGTCTGTATATATAGGTAGTCATTAAGTACAGAAATTCTCTCTTCAGAGAATCATAATTAAAATATTGTACCTACAACATTGCTCATGCATTTTGTAATGAAACTGTGACAGATTGGACTGGTTTTCATATTCAAAATTATTGGGCCAGAGTCAGTTTGGTTGCGTATGTAGCAGTCAGTTTCTGCTGCTTCATCCCAGAACTCAATTGGAAGCTGGGCTTCTTCTAGCATTGCACTCATATCGAACTCAACAGTTTGGATCGAACGTTCTGCAGGGCCGTTCTGATGCGAAGAGGCAGTAGTGGTTGATTGTGCAAGAACTCCATCTTCTATTTTCCAATTTTGGATGGCTTTAAGGAGTTCGGGTGCGTCGTCTGATCTTGCACATTTAACTTTCTTGCCCGATTAATGTTCAGTTACTGTTTTCCAGGTCTTCAAGGCCTCATATGCATCACTTTTGGTCTTTATTGGAATCACCCAATTCATTCTGCTGCAAATGTCAATGATGAGGAGGAACCATCTGTTGCCTCTGATACTTGTTGGGAATGGGCCAGCGACATCAAATTTAACTTGTCCCAGTTTTCATGGATAAACGTGGCGGAAACTAGGATGGTGTCTCATGGGGAGTTCCATTCTAAAACACAACTCGGGGTTAGATCAAGTTCTCAGACAATTAGGACAGGCTCAGGAACATAGGGTAGTTTCATAGGGAATGCGTAGTAATACTGTTCGAGACAGAGCTTAGGGCTGTCCTATTATCTGATGTACATATATACCCAGCGTGAAGGAGTATTCTTCTTCACGCAACGTCTTCTGTTTATACTCATACCTATTGTTCACTTACTTATCTCTTCTCTAAAGAAGACCGCCGTTATTGTACCCTTCTCACCTACTACTTATTTTACCTTTACTTCTTATGTGAACCCTATACCTAACGCTGAATTTATACCTCCTACTCTTAGGAATCACCACCATACTCCACACCTGTAACCTACTTGTACCAAATTCGTACCCTACGGAATACTAATAACACTGCTCCTTGAGACAGTATTTCATTGATCCAAGGGCTTAGGACCTTTGGGATCCTGTTGTTCATCTTAGTAAGTGCACATACCTCACAGACGTCGAGATCTCGTGGAATCTTGATCTGCTTTTTGAGTGTAGTAACCAGATGTAAGTTTCGAATTTTTTCAGGTCCTAAGTGAGCAAGGCGACGGTGGTACTTGAGGTATCTTTCTCTTTCGTTTTTCCGGATAGTTTCTTGATGTGAGATTTGACTCGGGCTCACATATGAAGTGTTATTATTTGACCTGTTGTTTTCCACAGAATTAAACGCGGTTTCTTCATATCCTTCAGCGATATGCGTCACAGTATAGAGTCCTTGATTCATTCTAGCTTCAATGATAACTTTATTGCCTAGCTTAAGGAACAATTCATTTTGATTACCCGCAAAGTTCAAACCTGCTTGACACAGCCTTCTCACTGATAGAAGATTAACTCCCAGATTTGGAACAAATAAAACATCGGAAAGAAGCATTGAAGATCTGTCTTTACACCTCATTTGAACATCGCCAGAAAATTCAGACTTTAATTTGCCCCCTCCAACCTTTACCCTTTTGGGAACAATCAATATAAGTTTCCTGAATAGAAGAGGTTGGTCAGACATGTGAGACGTGGCGCCAGTATCAACGGGCCAATCGGATGGAGTAGCCTTACATATTTCTTCTTTTGACAGGTGACATTCTTTGCAATCTTCATTTTCTGAAGCTAATGTTTCAGCAGAGAAGGCATTGCAGTATCTGGACTGCTTTTGTGCTGATTGAGAAGTTTTGGGTTTATCTTTATCTTGCAGGCGTGGTTTAGTTGATTCCTGCACTTTCTTCTTCCTGTCGTGCTCTTTCAAAAGTCTCGCAGCTGTTTCTAGCCTAGGACATCGAGCAACAGAATGTGACCATTTACATAAATAGCACTTATAAGCAGGGCTATCAGAATCAGAGTTTTGATTTTGTCGCATTTTCTGTGGAAACTTAGACGACTTTTGCCTAGCAACGAGGGCTTTTTCATTCTGAAGTTGTAGATCTTCTTCGACTTCGTTCAAAATCTTCAGCTTGTCCTCAACAGAAAGAGTAACCTTTATTCTGAATCCATCTGTTGTTGCCTTAAAGGCCGCTGGGAGTGTCTTTGTCAGAATTAGAAATAACGCCGCATCTGGATAAGCGTTCTTCATGATAGGATCTGCACTGATGAGTTTTCGGCGAAACTCTTTTAGCTTAGCCCAAGAATTGTCCAAGCCCATTTCTTGACGGAATTCAAACGTTGCAATTCTAGTTAGATACGTGTTTGCAGAATACTCGTTCGTTCTAAAATACTTGCCTTTGAGTGCGTTCCAGACTCTGAGTGCTGTCTCGTGCTCATCAATCATATCAAAATCTTCTGCGCTGAGAGCCTGGAGTATGAGAAAAGTGACGTTGCTTCAGCTTTCTCATACTTTTCAACTTTTGTTTCGTCCAAACTCGTACTCAGCACTTCAACTTTGATTGATCCTCCATCTATACCAGATGTCGAAGGTATTGTTTTACTTCTGTTTTGTTTCGTGGTCGCGTATTCTTCCAATGTTGTTTCAACAGTGAAAAATACTGACCTTGATTTAAGTTTTAGCTTCATTTCTCTAAACCAGCTCTCATAGTTATC